TGCCGATAACGTCCAAACATATATTAAACATTCTACGTATTTCAGCCGTGACGGACCAACAATAAATATGCAGTCATTATCCAACATTTGTTTTGCAAACACACGGATTAGAAACACACGGAAAAGTATTCGACTAGATGCCTATCGAGTAATCTATCCCAAGTAGCAAGAGTGGCATTAGATCTGTGTTGGTGGTACTTGAAAGCTGAGATTTGGTAATAATAGAGTATACCGCGGTCGATTTTGATTACTACTCATCTCTCTCTCAAAGGCGCACCTACCTAAAAATCAGACGTTCGCTTAGGAAGTTCGCTAGAAGATCGTTAGGGGGGACGTTACGGGATTGTATTTTCGATCCAAAAGCAAAAAATAGCTTGAGCAGATTTCATTTGTTTTACTATTTTGAAGATAACTCATACTCATACATACAATTTTTTTATAATAATAATAATAATTTTTTTATAAGGGCAGTCCCATAATGTATATACAAATAGGACATAGGTGTTAGACTATTAAGTATCATCCGTGGAAAAATTGCGTGTTGCTTTGTGTACATAATATGTATCTTGCACATATATACTAGGAAAATGTGAGAAATATTGCTAGCTTTGACTCAGTTACTTCCAAGTGCCTGCATATTTGGCAGGTTTAACGGTGTAAACCTGTGCTGCCTACCAGCTTCTAAAATGTTCCTCACAGCAGCTGCGTTTCTTCAATAATGTATGATATATTTGTTTCAAACATAATCCGATACATACCTAACACCTCCAATATGCTAATGATCTGAAACCTATGTTCAATTATAGATTACCGGTCTTCGGAAACAGTAGAGTGAGCAATGGACCGTACCGTTTATTATTGCATCCTGATAACGGGATGCTTCTTGCAAACTAAAGGTATGTAGTTTTAAAAAATTGAGCTTCCATTTATAACTATGAAATTGACAGTGTTAAGCTTCGTTTTACAATAGCAGACAAAGGTTAAATGGACGTTCAATGTGAATTTAACGAAACGGCTACGCAACTGGTCAATTCTACAAGGGATTTCACCTTCTTATAGGCATTTTATTATACGAAATCTTGAAATTTATGTTCGCCTGTACAAATAAATTGTCTTGTTAAAATTATCGTACTCTTCTCAAATCTGGGCTTGCTACCACAAATGCACTTTGAATTTTTTGAGGCTATTCGAACGCTTTCTCTTAAATGCATTCGCTAGCGTTACGCGCTCGGAAAAACAAAGTCGTATTTGCTGATTCTTGCAGTGACAAAATGTACCTGCATTTGAACAAAATCCAATAAGTAAACCCAAAGGGGTACGTTCTTACGCACTAGATTAAATAATTTCCTAAGCCGCAGTTATTTTGGCCAGGGCAACAGCTTGAATAATATGTATGAAGTTCACACATGGGAAAAGTCTAGGCGGTTGCATGAGGTAAAGATTCATGCTAGTCTCGTATGCAGCGGTTTAGGTACTGAGGGTGAACCATGTCATGAACGCCTTCCCCTTGACACAATAAGAATATATGCTAATCTTGTGTTGTAGCCTATGTCTGTAACTCGATCAAATCAACATGGCGTGACCCTAACGCTAATCAGTGCTCACTTAGGATTAACATATATGACAAAAATAACAAATGATATAAACAAGATCTAAAGGTCCTTGAAGCATTTTACAATTGGTATCGCACATCCTTGTACTTTGCTTATTGACACACTTTAACGCACAGGTGGAGTCTGTCGTTTAGTTTGTTTACACAACACGAATACATTTCAATGAAGGACAAGATGTCATTTTATAGTCGAAAAATACAACCGCTATTACTTTACATAAAAATAAAGACTACCATCTTAATAATAATATAATCCGCCACTGATTCGTATAGTATCCCAGGCATATTCGTCTTGTTAAGTCGGACTTGATAAATCGTTGTTTAATCAATTATTTGTTTACATCGCGCGACAGATGCTTCGTCACAACCGGCGTTTCGGCTTTGTGCCTGCTTCCCCACAGCGCCGCTCAATCCCGAACTCACCGAGGCCATACGAAATCGTACATTTGCATAATTCACACGAAGTATGATTTTACAACTAATTGCAAGAAGATGTTATGTACACTTTTACATAGACGTTTGTTGAGAACTTTACGCAGAATCAAATGCATATTTTTAAGTTTGTTGAGGTAGATGGGATACGTATTTTGCTAGCGACTGAATTGAAAACACGTTTTCCCTATGTACCGGATTTAAGAACTAGAATTTCCGTTCTCCGTTAATTGTCAAATGCGTATTCACGTCTTTCATGTTGGTGTTAGACTCGCGCACTTATCGTCTTATTGTAGTTTCGTAGTCTTATTGTAGAAGTCGTAAATTTCGTTAGTATGATGCTATTCCTTTGTATACTTTAGAAAAACCAAATATTTATATTCTAGACATAGAATCATCCACTAAATTAGCGCCTGCCTTTTTTTCTATAGACGAAGCGTTGCCTACGTTAATCATGACCACTTTTTGACACTCTTGCTAAGATGCTATAGCAGGCCCTTAGAGAATTATAATACTTCAAATTTTGGGATTCGCAATATCTACAAGATTTATATTATACATGTTCATGTTATATATGTACGAGATAACATGTTATATATGTTCAAGGTCTCTGCAAGTAGCTACTACGAGCGTTAGTACGGTTTCTTCGTACATATGAATCGCAATTGAGCGTCCTCTATCTCAATGCACTGAGAAATCCCACAGATTTCAAAGTTACACCCAATACATACAGGTGTATATTGCGTACAGACAAAACTTAACATCAAGTTAAGCGTACAGAGGTTATGTGCAGTGGCAAGTTCATTACACTAAATCGGTACTTTTCACCGGGTGAAGTTGACGTCTTCTGTAAAGAGATCACACAGCAAAAAAGCTAGCACATATTGACGTGTACGCATGTTATCTAGCCTGCGTGTATGCGTGCAGGTCCTCGAATAGAGGCTGAAAGTACGCTTGCTATGGGCGCAGTCGAACTGAGCTTCACAGCCTATGAGGTTCATGGTATGGTGAACCCCTGGTAACCGCCAAAGTTTTTAATGAAATGGTTTACATTAAACTTTAATTAAACATTCAGTTTAATGTAAACTAAATTGAATATCTCCGAATTATATACACGATACTATTCACAAAATAATTAAATATTTACAGTAGCTAGACGACACAAAAAAAATCTAAAGCATGGTGAAATTTTCTGTTCATATTCATGGACTTATAAACAGGCACTATGTGGAGCCCGAATATTTCTATGATTAAATTTTACATTAAAAAAATACGACAGTTATCTCTAATAGATTAGCATTTGCCTATTTAATATTCAGAGCTGTTTGTAAAGTCGTTTTCTTAATTTCTGGCATTAAGCAAATAAGCCCTTTGGGTGAGGGGTCAATTGAAAATACCTGCAGAAATTAAATGTATTTTCACGTAAAGCTAGTAAAACAACTGATATCAGCAGATTCCTAAGACAGAATTTCGACATTTACATTGCAAGAATAATCTGATACAGGTGTATTTTAGCAGACACTTTGTAAGATATTGTACATGTGCCTTTCCTGCACATTAGTGTCTTAATGACACATCATAGCGGCGGCTTTATATGAATGTGTGATGCTTATTAAAGTTTTTCATCAATGATGCTACCTTATTTTAAGCCGTTACTGAAACAGGGTTTTTCAGAGCATTCATGAAGCATTCGCAGTAGGCTTATCTATCCCTATTTCAAACCTTTTTTTCAAGTTAATGCAGCGTTTTAGCTGAATTCGTAGAAAATACACATTCAACATTCAAAAATGGGGAGGAAGCACAGAAGTTCCGCAAGATAGCAGCTACGTGGTCAGGAGTGAGTTTCAGAAAATGGTACGTAGGAATTCAGAAAATGGTATGTAGGAATGCCACTCGTGTAAATTTGGCTTAAACTTTAACCTAAATACGATGTTTATGAGACTCTTACAACCTGCGATTGATGCAACTGTGCACAGATTCACATATAGATTGTACCACTTTCTATTTTGAAAACACTACTTGACGGACGGCCGTCTTTTGAGGAAACCTTTAATTTGTCAACAATAGCTTGCGGTACGGAACATTTCTAAAAACAATACTTGTACATACTGTGAAGCTTATTTGAATTTCGAAGGATCTGTAATCAATCCATCTGTCATTTACTGTCCGCTTTTGATGAGTATGAATGATTAGTTTTGTGGCTAAGAAAGAACTTCACATACGTTGATAGTTCTGAATAAGATTTACTTTTTAGTTAAACAAATAGTGTAAGCAGGATATAATAACATAGGAAGACGTCGATATTAAGTTTGCGTCTTACATCTAAAGCTTTCAGGTTTGAGAAAAGCTCTCGACAGCATTCATTGACCAATGAAGCGATCTTAAGTACAGGCAGCTGGAGGAACTTGATATTATCGCATCCTGCTGACAGCGAAATGTCGACTGAAAACATTCTACGCCATAAATATATTCCTTTGAAGAAGCAATATGTGCTTCCGTTGGGGTACACTGCCGCCTTTATAAATGAACAGCCATATATTATACGGAAAAAGACTAACTTAGGATATCTAATCAAGAGGGATTACTGAAAATCTTCATTACAGCTTCATTACCCCTAAGAAGATGTTTTCGTAAAAATCATATTTTTATGAGTCAACAGCTTTTTTCTGGGTGAACTTGAAACGTTTTGTCTGAACTTCTATGCGGTAAATAAGCTGCCTGTTGTGCAATGAGGTGCTTCGTTCAACAAAACGTATAAATATGGCGTATAAATAGGGGTGTCCATGGTAAACTATTTTTTCTGCAGTGAGACGAATATTTCAAAGATTTGAGCCAATAATATCATAGAATTCGTACTTCAACTGGTCACTGTTATTCACGCGTCCATATCGATGCATGCATCATTTCTTCGGTCTGATCATACTAGTCGATTGGTTGTTCAAGCTGAAGCACTTACCAACTTGATGGGGGCCCAGTTCTGATGTGGCCATTAGCATAACGCTTCCGATGAGGAGTATCCCCTTGAGCCGGAACATTTCGAAGATTTTCCGTTGTAACTGACCGGTGAACGTCACTAGCGCCACCAACACAATCACCCACTTGCACTCACACCCACCTGGGGACACGGCGCCCCACGGATTCCGATCTTATCCTATTTTGTCGCTGCAAGAATACCGGCTTGTTCCCCGATAAGCCTTGATCACAGTCACCGGGCGTTATCCTCTACTGCGGCAGTAGCAATGACTGTCGCGAACTGTAGCATGTTGACGCTCTTGTTGTTGTGAAGGTTATTGCATCGCATTATCGGTAGCAGCTGAAGCAGCGGTACCACAACCCGCCGATTATAGCAATAGGCTTCCGTTTGTTTTGTGTACAGCGAACCCATTATTGTACAAATCCACCAGCCAGCAGTCACATAACACATGAATTAGTTGCGCTGGATTACTGAGCGACTAAACGGCCAATTTCAATGGGCACAAGAATAATAAAAATCTAATCTAAGTCACCTGATTTCACAAGTTTGGAGCATCTATTTACTACGAATATTTAAACGGCAATAATGACAAGGCCGTTTTAATTTCCACGAACATTTGGCTGGTCATTGAAGAAATCTATATTCTATGATATATAGCAGCCAACCTTAACGTTATTTGCTGGCTAGTCTCGCATAGTTATTAGAAGTTGTGTAAACTCGAAGTAATCGATTGCCTGTCACCAGCGATGATACTTGTGCTGTTTATTGCCTTTAGGTCCGAGGATAACCCACGTAACGCTGTAAGTCTGCTATCCTTTGTTGTATCTTTCTTAGCTGCTTCTTCGATTTGCCTCCACGGACAGAGTCGCTGACACCCGTCAGCCGCACCAAATCAGGCTGATGCGTACAGTTGTGCCTGACTTCACTTTATTGTCCATTAGAAGCGACTGCTGTTAATACCCCGTCTCACATTGTAAGTTCGTTATCAGCGAAGAGCTAACGATTTTCGCTGGTCTTTCTGTACTCGGCCGGTCGTATTCGGCTGTCGTGTATATCGATCCTGCCGCAGGGCAGAAAATTCTTCTTCTCATTTAGAATTTTTGCTGTGTTAATGCATGTCACCATATTTCATTGGCCTGAATGGAACAGTAGCTGGACGTTTTAGCTAAACAACAACATTTCTTCTTGATTTGAATCGTTCGCCTATGAGGGATGAGAACCCCAGCAAAGTCTTGCTGGTACTCTTGTGTTTCCTTGCAAAGGACCGCGAGGCCAAGAACTTTTCAAATGAAAGATAGTTTATCAGTATAAAAACTGGAACAAGGGGACACCATCATGAATAACATTCATTAACACTGATGAGGCACCGTGCACTCATCATTTGTCGGCTTTTAGTCGTTGCCCAGGAACAGACATGGCAATAATGCCGATGATGATGATGACAGGTTGAATCGCTCGCGATGTGGGTGCCGACAGCGGGACCACGCGGTTGGTATCAATATTCAACATGGCATGACCACTACTCCACGAGCCCGCGCTCTGCCAATACGATCCTGGCAGACCGCCAAGTTTGAGTGCGCGGCGAGGGTACGTCTCAGTCCTTTCTCATTTAGGAGAGGGTCAATCTGTAAGGGAGGGCACGGTCGATTTATGCCTTTTGTTAGAGGTTGACACAAAGCAGCGGGGGTTGGGTAGGTGGCTTCATAGACAGCATTGAGCCTTGGAGGAGCGCAAAACTCTACAAAATGAGAAGGATATTCCGGCATAGGTGTTGTAGACTTCCTAGAGGTAAAAGATACTTTTCCCTTCTCAGGCCATACTATGGTCTTGCGGACCAAGATACTCCAGCACAGCTGATGCAAATGAAGTAGACCAACTTTATCGTGAATCACTCCATTGAAGAAATTGCAACGATTGAAATTACTGAAGGATGCTGAGTTACATCATTTGATTGACGACGAAGCACTGACGTACATTAGGAAAAATTCCCTTGAGAGGTTTCCTATGTATCCGGCTGTCGGGTTAAACTTGACCGACACTGCAGCTTGTCCGCAAGCTGCATCTAAGCGAAAACAGATATTTGTATATCATTTTTTCAAATACACTGGCAACGATCTTTCTGATAAGCCTATTTATTCAATGTTATTGTCTGTAATTTAATTAAATTCAGTCCGACTTATACATATTTAGAGCTAGCAATGCTTAATAGCCTGTGATGGTGCCTATCCGTTTTTTGTGTGACTTCTATTTGCTAAATTGGCGCTCAGTCACGCTCCATGCATAGTAATCCAACATATTTAAACCTAAGCTGTAAAATGACCACAAGTCCTTTTACCACTAGTTTACGCGTATAAGCGGGTTCTTCGTCCCGCTAAAAGACGTACGACCTCTTATCGGGTATAGTCGCCATCCACAGCTTCTTGCAGTTTTCCTTTTCTAAATACATGTGGCATAATGTTTGCTTCACTGGACACAACGCTCAGAATAGGTACTCTTGCCTCAAAAAGATCAAATCTCTGACTGGCTCTATTGACGACGTTCTAACATACGAACAGCTTATATAACCTTTAAACTTTGGCACAAACTGGTACACTTAGAACTAAAAATCCTGTCATATCTAAATTATCCAATATTACCAGTTTCTTTGAAAAAGAATCCATAAATGTGTATCAAATGAAGATGAAATCAAAAAGGATATTGGAAGCTAGCACTTCTTCATTTTTTTTGTGTACTAAGATACTCACATAGGTCACTACATGTAATACCTACACTCTTTTCTTACGTCTTTATAAAAATCTACGTCCATTTCACTGTAATGAAATAGATCTAAGCTGAATTAGCGAATTGTTTCTTCGTGATAAGTAGTCGGAGTTACCCCTTTAGATCGCACGGTTATAAAAAGACTGCGTGACGAAACAGATCCTGCTATTGCTTTCCACTGGAATTATTATATTCGCCATCGGGGGTTTCATCGCTTCACATTCATGCAGGATAAAAGTAGTCTGTCTGGCATTATCTAACGTCAAACCGAACCAGGATAGGGGGGTTGAACTCCTAGGACGCTTAGTTGATGAGAGGAACGCAAACATTTCCAAAGGTAACTTGTTTCTACCTTTTAGTCGAAATGGCCTGCAGCAATATGTGCGTAAATAAATCCGCCAACTGGCTAGTAAGGTAAAGGGGCACACTACCAAAGTCGCATTACAAATTTAAGTATCATAGTCCAATGGCGACCGTATTTCGACGAGCTGCAATACTCAGCAGTGGCGCGTAAATTCTTGGCTTATGTGTGTAATTTTTCTGTTAATGCAAAGAGTGCAGGACGCAAAATCCGGACGAGCCTTTCATTACCTTTATGTTGAGGAACAGCATTAACGATATATATATATACTACAGGTTTGGTTATATAACATAACATATCATTATAACTATTGTAAATGAAAATCTCAAATAAGAATAACGCTAAGCAATGCCAAAAATATCTTCGCTATAAAAAATTCTTTATTCCACATATTTACCAATACGGATGCTTGCCATCTTGTTGACCCTTGTAGATAACTTTTTCCTTATAAATATGCACATATTTTCAAAAAAGAATCAAATATAAGAGAATTGTCTATGAAAAGAAGCAGACGAACAGGGTCCTATGGCTTTGTCCACACCGTCCGTGGGAAACGCAATGCGCCGGTACAATTCACTAGTGAAATAGGATAGCTCCGACACGATGCACGTATATGCATAGCGCTGCCGGTGATTGCAGCTCTCATCTGCATGATCGAGCTGTTATTAAATCTGGAGCTTTTCTCCTTTGTTTTCCTACTCTGGCTGTTAGGTACTGATCCTCTCGTGCTAAGTTCAATAGCGTGCCATCTTTGACTCTATCATCGTAGTTGCTAGTTACCACAACCATTTGACAAATTTATGCACTGCGCTATCAGGTACTTTATTATGTATCTGAAAAGTGCTTATTTGCTATTGCCGCTGCTCATGTTCAATAGAGCTATGTGTCTCAAATTTGTGGGTAATTCGGCTTGCCCCTGTAGACACAAGGCATCTGAAAACTATTCGGTACTGTTAGTATTGTTTTTATGTGCTATTTTACAACCGGCGTGCATTTTTTTCTTATTTGCATGCGCCTTAACATGTGGAAACAGGGCTTTCTTTGATTTCGCACACCTTCGTTACAGCAAGCCCTTATACACAAATAGGTGTAATTTTCTATTTAAGAAATAATTCCCAGTATTGGTTTCCATTAGTGTCAAGTTACCATTTTTTACCACGTAGTAGATCAAAGGCGGTTATAATTGGACGCTAATGTAATTATTCATAGACATTTTTACAGGGCAGGCAAAAAAACGTGTTACATCGTAGTAACAGATAGATAGTGAACAACCTATCAACCCCTGAAGGTATCGAGATCAGCTTAGCGATAAACGGAGTACTTGATTTTATCGAACTATAATATAATTGGATACCCCGATGAACGCAGATGCAGGATCTTGGCAAGGAAGTCATCTTGTACAACGAACAACGCTGCCATACTGATGTCAATACAACACCATCATATCAAATATGCAATTGATTATATATCAGAGCACCTAAACCCAGGTATATTTCACAGATAGAGTCACACGTTACATAACATCGCTGTCCGCCAGGTACGAGACCTCAGTGGTGTTAAAAACTAAACTGGGTATATACTATTTACATCAGATCTTATCCTGATACGAACGACTTGAGTTCGTATTTTGTCATGATCTAAACCATTGAGATGACGCCACGTTGACGATATGTTTGTACATCGCCTTAAGGTCTATGAGGCAAGACATGCCAACTCAATCGGGTTCTATAAATTCACGGACTGAACTTCAGCTATATTGCGCCAGTTATCCGTTGACATAATCCCGACTCGAAGACGAATGTAGACATCTATAGTTCGACGTCTGTGAGTCCTTGTCAGCTGCAACGCAAAGTAGGTTTTACCCAAGGGGACACGACCCAGTTAAACCGATCTACGAAAAAAAGAATAAATTTATAGAGAGCGCATACAACGTTACGATGGAGATGATAGTAAACACTACTTTACGTCCCAAGAAGAAAACGAAAAAGTACACAGATCGAGGCGTGTCGTCGCCACCGCTTTCGCTGCTAAGCTTGTGGCAAGTAGCGGGCAATATCATACTGCACTCCGCTACATCCGTATACTTTTCCTTCACTCTGTGGTTATGTACCTCTGTATCTGTACCGCTTGTAAGTGCGTCTGTGTGCTTTCGATTGTCCTGCAAGTCCTTATGTAGAGATTCCAGACATGCTAACTGAGTGTAGTTGTGGCCCTTGCTACGACTTCAAAGCAAAGGAAAAGAGAGCGGCGAAGCATCCTCCCGGCACTTGCCTTAGCCCACAGACGCCGTTTGCGGTTGCTGCTATCACTGAAACCAGGATGTACGTTTACCATGGGCCACGTTTGGGAGCAGTACCGAGACCTTTGCCACGATTTCCTGCTGCCGGCATCAAGAGCCAGTTCCTCTGCGGCCGGTGAGCAGTTTTTACGTCAAAGATTCAGCGACTTGGGCTGGCTACGAAGTGAGAAGACGAGCAAGAAGTGGTATCTAAGAAGGGCTGCCGCTACCGTTACTAAGAGGATACTACTTCTTCACCTCATGTTCGGCTTCTGCTGCTAGCTCCATTGCTGTAGCTGTTGCTTTTTAGGCTCGCTGGGCCTTTTGGGAGATAAGCCAGCTAGCCAGCCTTGATGCCTTTTTCTTCACTGCTGTGAAAATGGACGATTGCGCTGGTAGGAAGGCAGTAACTGCGGCAGCAGTAGCCGTAGAACCAGGGGAAGCATGAGGATGTGAGGCAAACGGTTTTCGCTTTGCGTCACTTCCGTTACTACGGTGTTCCCCGATCTCGGTTCCCCTAGAAGACCAACTATCTCAACTACCTAGCTAATGCAGTTATATTGGATCGCGTTAGGCCTTCGAGTTGAAGGGTTGAGAAGTCGAATCGAAAAGTGCTCCTAAATGTTTTACGTCCGGTCCTAGTGCCGCCGTTAACTAATGTTTCATACGGCTGCGTCTCTTACCCCTTCCAGCGCGCGATCTAGTGTGTCTAAGCCAGGTGGTCTCAAAAACTGCGCCTGTGCACTGCGGAAATCATGTGGGAAAATAGGAAAAGAGAAAGAAAAGAAAGGAAGAAAAAGAGAGTGCCGAGTGTGAAGTGCAGATAGCATAGTGAAACGATGAAAAAGGTCGAGCAGAGACGAAGAAGTCAACGGATATCAGCGCTAGTAGTAATGGGGTATCCCGTAAACTGACGGGAAACGTGCTCGTTGTAGAGTGATAATGTACAGAGACTAAAAGGGGAGTGGAGGCCACTAAGGAGTGGCACAGCGGGAAGGAACTACAAAGGCCACCAATAGGAGGTGATAGGATAAGCGCGGCCATCGTCAGCAGCAAAGGCAGCCGAGTGCGTAGCCGCTAGA